ATGCACCACCATGTCCAAGCATCAGCATCCATCTGCCCGCTCACCGTTATTTCATAAGCCATCACCAGGATCACTATCGATCTACCTACCCATCCACTCATTGACGAGTAGTGCGTTTGGTCAGCAACACTTCTACTACAGAAACGACACCCCACATTGTCTTTCTTATCCAAACCATCGCCATCAGTTAGGACACAAAACGCTCTCTCTCTCTCTCTCTCTCTCTCTCTCTCTCTCTCTCTCTCTCTCTCTCTCTCTCACACACACACACACACACACACGTTCACCGCACAAAAGGTGAACATATGTTCACCGTTAGGGAAGCGCATCGTATCTGAGGGCGAAAGTCGAGACCCTGCGTACGAATGATCAACGTAAAACCTAATCAGAAAAGGAAACACGTGGCAAGTGAGAGAATCGTCTGCCCACACAAAGGATACTTCACCAACCGGCCTCCACCACAGCCGTATACAAAAAGCTCACTCCTCCTTGAGGTTGGCGCCATGGGCGGCTCGACAGAGCTTCCACATGTTCACTTCTCGTCCGACATTCCTTCCCGCACGAGATTCCAAGGACCTTCCCTGATATGCAGACACTGAGTTGAGGACCGCAAGAGAGAGCTCAAATTCTTCAGATATCTCCGCTGGCATGGGCGAATGAAAATACGCACACGGAGGATTCTGTGACGGTAGTCGATGTTACGCAGGCCATTCAACCCGCCATCGACTCAAACGCGACCGCATACACACGCAGCGGCACTCTCGACATATCGAACCGCACGCGTATACAGAGCTTAGCCACCAGATCATCCTCTCTACCATTTACGAAGCGCTATCCTTCTCTCCCAGGAGCCTCCCAATCTCTTCAGCGTCACATTACCACTCTTCGGATCCTGTCCTTGCTATCTCACCCTCCCCCTAAACATATGTTCCGAAACCTTCCACCCTCATCATCCCCACCCTGAGTCTCTTGTGCATCCTTCCCTTTCCGCTCTCTCTAATCTGACCCTCATCATCCCCATCAGTCATTACCCTCATCTTTCCCTCTCCATTCCTCAATCTACATAAACTGTCCCTTCTCTCTCTCACTCACTCTCTCTCTCTCACACACACACACACACAAACATAGAGAGACAGCTATACCTCCCAACCTCTCCTTTCACACCCCCAACCTCTCCTTTCACACCCCCAACCTCATCCAACCTCGTGGATATTCTCTCCTCCCGGGCAACCCTTTCCTTTCTCCATTTATGAATCCAGGCAACTACCAGCCTCTCGTTACCCCCGCAATGTTCCCCTCCTAACCTCGTTTTGGATTCTCTCTCTGTGTGTGTGTGTGTGTGAGTGTATGTGTGTGCGTGTGTGTTTCTGTACATGCACGATGGGCCTATCTACTTCACGGACCTCTCCTTCATATCTCTTTCCCAAATGCTCCGTCCTTCCTTCCGGTGAGCTCTCCCTCTTGCGTAACAGGCAACCCAACAACTTTGCGATTGCCAGCAGTACGCCAGATGCACCCCCTAACGCCCCATCCTGGATCTCATTCCCCTCGCGTGAGGGCGATTACATCCCCCAGTCTACTCCTGAAATTTCCCGACTGAAAGTGGTGCGGGATTTTCAAGAGACTCCAGAAAATGCCGACAAGCTCCATCACAAACACTCCCTTAGAGACTCCAGAAAATGCCGACAAGCTCCATCACATCACAAACACTCCCTTAAAGCACAGCAAACCTCAAAAGATAGGACAAGAGAAGACGGAGCAACCACAAGCGTCCATCGGAGGAGCGCGCATCATCTCGCACAGCTGCCAAAGGCCATCTTCCACATCCGCATCCTATGCCGCAATAACACCCATCACATCTTTTGTTCCGGAGACTTTGTGGTATCGTCTATCTCCTCTCCTCGTCCTCCTCGCCGCAGCCGAAACCAATTAGACTCCACTAGCTTCCACCATTAAACAATACTATCACAGCATCAACTTCTTGTGCAAAGAAAAGCCATACCACTAATACTACGCGCGCGGGATAGAGTAATTGGTAACCCGTCAGGCTCATAATCTGAACGTTGTAGGCTCAAATCCTACTCCCGCCAATCTTCCACCAATCTCTATTGGATGGAGATAAACACTTGCAAATGCAGACAAAACGTGCGAGGTTTTACTTTCGCAGCAAACACGTAATGTCCATGGCATGCGACCAAGTCGCGATTACCCTTCTACTTAAAAGCTCAGGTAATCTTTCCAGCCACTATCCTCACTATTGGATGGAGAGACGTTCTAACTAATTGTTCTGAAAGAATAGATATAGATAAGATAAGGGGACCGACCTACGGCACGCCCTGACTGACGGGCGTGCCGCATTAGGGACGTCATCCACCAAGGTAACGGTCAGCTTAAGTTTTGCATAATCATCGATCGACTGCACGCCATCCTCCTCCCCCTCCAACGCGTGTCTTCTGTGCCTTACGAGACCCCTCTCAACTGCCCCTCTAACACGCGGCTTCTAATCCCTTTCCCAACCCATCATACTCCCTCCATCTCCCTTCCCGACTCCCTCTCACCTATTTTGTAGAGGCGTATCATCCTCTGCGGCTACTCATTATACAGCCGCATTTATGTCCTCCCTCTGCGTTCCTCCACAACAATCATCCCCTGCGTCCACTCACTATACACCCACATTTACGTCCTGCGCTCATCCACAACACACCCCCATACACCCACATTTACGTCCTGCGCTCATCCACAACATACCCCCATTTGTCTCAGGGAAGTTCCCTCTTTCTCCAACTCAACATCTTTCCTGCTTTCCCCAATCCGAACGCTTCTTCCTGATCACTGTACAAGACGACGGACGGCTTCTATTATACGATTCGGCTGCTGCTGCTATCAGACGATTCGGCTGCTGCTATTAGACGATTCGGCTGCTGCTATTGGTTAATTTGTTCTTCTGTAAGCGTTATCGTTGTCGCGGATGGGGCGGAGCGAGTGCTGCGATGCCGCCATTTCCGCCAGGTCACAACTGGATAGAAAGCATTACAGGATTCATCAATCAATGCTCCCCGATACGACACTCTAAGAGGAGGGATGACTTCAACGCTGACGACCTCCTCTCGACCAAGTACCTTTTCTATGCCATTGTGCGTCCTATTCTCAGTCGTTTACCCGCTTCCAAGCATCTGCTGAACAGCCGGGATCATTTGGCATCATTCTACTTCGTGCGGTTCTTCCTCTTTCAGTTTTCCCACTTCCCCATTCTCCTATTCGAGAATTCCAGAGCACCCGCTTATAATCCTCCTTCCTTTCCTTCTCCATCTACCCCTCCTCTCTTCCCGTCATCCTTACCCTCGCCCGCTTTTTCATGCAGTACTAAAATTCGATCTGCTGCTGCTGGTACCACTCCTGACACGTTACCACCACTCATCGTTTCACAGCACCGTACGGATGACAACAACAAGCTCATCAATGACTTTTAGACGGCGATCATGGCCCTCAGTTTCTTCGACACAACCACCCAACTTTCCCTACCTCTTGTCGGCAGTTTGGCACTCAATTACCTGCTGCACTACCAGTCATCACCTGTCCGTTGAGCCTTCCGCCCTAATTCTATCTCCTTCCCAGCATAGCAATATACTCACCTATTTCCCCAATATCACTATTGTGTTCCTCTCTCTCTCTCTCTCTCTCTCTCTCTCTCTCTCTCTCTCTCTCTCTCTCTCTCTGTGTCTCTCTCCCTGCAACCCCTACCCCGACTTGGTTGCCCTCCACCGACTCATCTTGCTGTACGTTCTCTCGGTCTTGCTCCATCCTTACCTTCCTCATCCAACAGTCACCCAGTCTCGGACAATGCCCTTTCAATACCACGATCCGCGCACACGGGTAACCTGAGCCTAACCAACAATTATCACAACCTTCATTTTCAGCCTTCCTTTCTCACTCTAGACGAACCCACGGGGGACTACTCCCGAATCTCAGCGTAAATCTTGATACAGCAGATCTCAATAAAAATACATTGATTCAGGGCGATCTCTGACAATCAGGCGAAGCGCCCTCTCGCCCTCCTCTCTCTCTCTCTCTCTCTCTCTCTCTCTCTCTCTCTCTCTCTCTCTCTCTCTCTCTCTCTCTCTCTCTCTCTCTCTCTCTCTCTC